TCACGTTTGGACCTAGAGCAGTTTTTCCGCTGCCTCCACCTCCGCGCTTACTTCTTCAATAGTGAGCCGAACCCTCCCTCTACTGACCCCTTCTCCCACCTCCAACACACCTCCTCCTCCTGGACACCACCCCAAGGCCTCCTACCCTCCCTCAACCTGTTCATCTCCAACTGCTGTCGTGACATGAATCGCCTCAACCTCTCCACCCCTCTCACCCACTCCAACCTCTCCCCCGCAGAACGTGCAGCCCTCCGCTCCCATCCCAACCTCACCATAAAACCCACAGACAAGGGAGGCGCAGTTGTAGTATGGCGCACTGACCTCTACATCGCCGAGGCCAGACGCCAACTCTCCAACACCTCCTCCTACCGCCCCCTTGATCATGACCCCACCCCCGACCACCAAACCATCATCTCCCAAACCATCCACAACCTCATCACTTCAGGTGACCTCCCACCCACAGCCTCCAACCTCATCGTTCCCCAATCCCGCACCGCCCGCTTCTATCTCCTTCCCAAAATCCACAAACCTGAATGCCCTGGTCGATCCATTGTCTCCGCCTGCTCCTGCCCCACCGAACTCATCTCCACCTATCTGGACTCCATTTTCTCCCCCTTGGTCCAGGAACTCCCTACCTACGTCCGTGACACCACCCACGCCCTCCACAACTTCCAATTCCCCGGTCCCCAACACCTCATCTTTACCATAGATGTCCAGTCCCTATACACCTGCATTCCCCATACAGATGGCCTAAAGGCCCTTGGCTTCTTCCTGTCCCACAGGCCCGACCAGTCCCCCTCCAGTGACACCCTCATCTGCTTAGCCGAACTCATCCTCACCCTCAACAACTTCTCTTTCAATTCCTCCCACTTCCTACAGACAAAGCGGGTGGCCATGGGTACCCGCACGGGCCCAAGCTATGCCTGCCTCTTTGTACGTTATGTGGAACAATCCCTCTTCCGTACCTACACCAGCCCTAAACCCCACCTCTTCCTCGGCGCCGCCTCATGCTCCCACGAGGAGCTCAAACAGTTCATCCACTTCACCAACAGCTTCCAACCCAATCTTAAGTTCAGCTGGACCATCTCTAATACCTCTCTCTCCTTCCTGGACCTCTCTGTCTCCATCTCCAGCAACCACCTAGAAACCAATATCCATTTCAAGCACACCGACTCCCACAGATACCTAGAATACACCTCCTCTCACCCACCTTCCTGCAAAAATGCCATCCCCTATTCCCAATTCCTTCGCCTCCGCCGCATCTGCTCCCAGGATGAGGCATTCCACTCCCGTACATCTCCGATGTCCTCGTTTTTCAAGGACCGCAACTTCCCCCCCTCAGTGGTTGAGAACAGCCTCCACCGTGTCTCCCGCATTTCCCGCAACTCATCCCTCACACCCCCTCCCCGCAATAACAACCAAAACAGTATCCCCCTCGTCCTCACGTACCACCCCACCAACCTCCGGATCCAACGCATCACCCTCCGACACTTCCGCCATCTGCAATCTGACCCCACCACCAAAGACATTTTTCCCTCCCCACCCTTATCTGCCTTCCAGAGGGACCACTCTCTCCGTGACTCCCTTGTCCACTCCACACTCCCCTCCAGCCCCACCTCACTCGGCACTTTTCCCTGCAACCGCAGGAAGTGCTACACCTGCCCCTACACCTCCCCGCTCACCCCCATCCCAGGCCCCAAGAAGACTTTCCACATCAAGCAGATGTTCACCTGCACATCTGCTAATGTGGTATACTGCATCCGCTGTTCCCGTTGTAGAGGAGGCCACATCGGGGAAACCAAGCAGAGGCTTGGGGACCGCTTTGCAGAACACCTACGCTCGGTTCGCACTAAACAACTGCACCTCCCAGTCGCGAGCTATTTCAACTCCCCCTCCCATTCCACAGATGACACGTCCATCCTGGGCCTCCTGCAGTGCCACAACGATGCCACCCGAAGGTTGCAGGAACAGCAACTCATATTCCGCTTGGGAACCCTGCAGCCCAATGGTATCAATGTGGACTTCACAAACTTCGAAATCTCCCCTCCCACTACCACATCCCAAAACCAGCCCAGCTCGTCCCCGCCTCCCTAACCTGTCCTTCCTCCTACCTATCCCCTCCTCCCACCTCAAGCCCCAGCCCCATCTCCTACCAACTAACCTCATCCCGCCCCCTTGATCTGTCCGTCCTCCCTGGACTGACCTATCTCCTCCCTACCTCCCCACCTACACTCTCCTTCACTGGCTCCATCCCCGCCTCTTCGACTGGTCTGTCTCCTCTCTACCTATCTTCTCCTCTATCCACCTCCCCCTCTCTCCCTATTTATTTCAGAACCCCCTTCCCCTCCCCCATTTCTGAAGAAGGGTCTGGGCCCGAAATGTCAGCCTTCCTCCTGCTTGGCCTGCTGTGTTCATCCAGCTCTACACCTTGTTATTTATAATGGATTTAGTATATTGGAATTTCAAAAGACATTTGCTAATGTGTCACACAGAAAGTTATTGCACAAGGTGGGATTGAAGGTAACGTAAATATAGAAATCAGTTTTAAAAGATAGTAGGAATAAAGGGATCATTTTCAGGTTGCAAATGTTACTTGTTGGGTGCCACAAGAATCAGTTCTGGGGAATCAGCAATTTACAACCGGTAGTAATGAATTTATTAAATGTACACAATATAATGTACCCAAATTTGTTGTTGATACAAGACTAGGTGGGAAAGACAGCAATGATGATGATGCAAAGACTCTGCAAAAATGTATTGCCAGGCTAAGCAAATTAGCAAAAATGGTGCCAATGAAGTATAGTATAGGGAAATATGAAGTTATTTACTTTGGTGTGAATAACAGAAATCAGAACATTTTTCAATTGGTGAGGAGCTATTAAATGTAGATATTCAGAGGAATTTGGATATCCTTGTAGAAATGAGAACACAGAAAAAGGTAATATGCTGTTATAGTCATAAATATAAATAGATTCATACGGCATGGAAATAGACCCTTCAGTCCAACCAGTCCATGCCAAACATAATCCCAAACTAAACTCGTCCCACCTGCCCGCTCCTAGCCCATATCCCTCCAAATCTTTCCTATTCATGTACTTATCTAAGTGTCTTTTAAACACTGTAACTGTGCCCACATCCACCACTTCAAGAGGAAGTTCATTCCACACCCAAACCTGTGTAAAAGATTTACCCCATGTCTTTTATTTTAAATCTCTTTCCTCTCACCTTAAAACTATGCCTCCTAATCTCGAAATCTCCCATCCTAGGGAAAAGTCGCCTCTAAATGTTGTGTTAGTTTTTATTGCAAAGAGGTTGGAATACATATAAAATAAGTTTTATTGCCAATTGTACAGGGATTTGGCAAGACAGTATGATGTATAGTTTTGAACTTCAAGAAAGGACATGCTCATCAAAAGGGGATACAACAAAAGTTGACCAGAACATAGAACATTGAACAGTACAGCACAGTACAGGCCCTTTGGCCCACAACGTTGTGCTGACCTATTATCCTACTAAGGTAAAACTACCCTGCATACCCTACATTTTACTATCATCCATGTGCCTATCCAAGAGTCACTTAAAATGTCCCTAATGTATCTGACTCCACTACCACCACTGGCAGAGCATTGCACGCACCCACCACTCTGTGTAAAGAACCTACCTCTGACATTTCCCTTACACCTTCCTCCAATCACCTTAAAATTAAGCCCCCTCGTAATTGTCATTTCCACCCTGGGAAAAAGTCTCTGGCTATCCACTCTATCTATGCCTCTCATCATCCTGTACACCTCTATCAAGTCACCTCTCTTCCTTCTTTTGCTCCAAAGAGAAAAGCCCTAGCTCTCTCAACCTTTCCTCATAAGACCTCCCCTCCAGTTGAGGCAGCATCCTGGTAAATCTCCTCTGCATCCTCTCTAAAGCTTCCACCTCCTTCCTGTAATGAGGTGACCAGAACTGAACACAATATTCCAAGTGTGGTCTAACCAGAGTTTTATAGAGCAGCAGCATAACCTCGCGGCTCTTAAACTCAATTCCCCTGCCAATGATAGCCAACATACCATATGCCTTCTTTACAACCCTATCAACTTGGGTTGCAACTTTGAGGGATCTATGGACACGGACCCCAAGATCCCTCTGTTCCTCCACACTGCCAAGAATCCTGCCATTAACCCTGTATTCTGCATTCAAATTTGACCTTCCAAAATGAATTGCTTCATACTTTTCTGGGTTGAATTCTATCTGCAACTTCTTTGCCTAGTTCTACATCCTGTCAATGTCCCGTTGCAACCTACAACAGCCCTCCATACTGTCCACAACTCCACCAACCTTTGTGTCATCGGCAAACTTACTAACGCACCCTTCCACTTCCTCATCCAAGTGATTTATAAAGATCACAAAGAGCAGGGGTCCCAGAACAGATCCCTGCGGAACGCCACTGGTCACTGAGCTCCAGGCTGAATACTTTCCATCTACTACCATCCTCTGTCTTCTATTGGAGATCAAGTACTCAGAAATTCAGAAGAATGACAGATGACCTCATTGGAAAATATAAGATTCTGAAATGCCTTACCAGAGCAGATGCCAAGAGGCTGTCAGCCCTTGCTAGTTAATCTAGACTTAATGGGTATACCCTCAGGATGAGAGCACAGTTGTTTCTGAGTGAGATGAGAATTTCTTAAAGTTAGAAGACAGTGAATCTTGAAAGTTCTCTCTCATGCAGGCTATGGATATTCAGTTGTCAAATAATATTCAAGCTGACATTGATAGTTGCTTGGATGCAAAGGAAATTGAGGGATACAGGAATCAAAAGGAAATGGTACCACAGTTGAGTGTTAGACATCATCTTATTAAATGGCAAAGCAGGTTCGAGTGGCACTACGGCCATTATTATTTGTTCCGTTCGTATAAAATCTATACACACTGAGAAACAAGAGTTAACCCAAGTTACATATAACTTGAAAGAGCAGACAAAACGAATTGCTAACGCAAGAAATAACTACCTTCCAGGTGTACAGGACACTACCATTCTTTTCAACATTGACAACTTGTAACTCCTTCCTCGAGGGCCTCGTAGATAAATCTAAAAATTGAATTGAGTGAAGAAAATGCATTTTACAAATTAGATTGCAATGTTTTTCATGTTAAAAAAAAATGTACTTAACAGTCCGCTCCTCACATTAGTGTGTTTCTTTTCGCACATACACAGGAACTAATTTGAATCAATTTGCAAGTACCGATCGACGGAGTAGAGTTTAGAATTGCAAATAGAAGTCAAAGTTTTAAATGTCACTTCCATGCTAATTAGCTTTAAGTAATTGAAACTTTAAACTCAATCGTAAGTAACACAAAGGGATATTCTCAAGATTTAATAACCAAATATTTTTTTTTAAAATCTGTACATTAGATCACCGTTTTATTAAAACAAGTTTATTATAGCTTACCATTTTCATCCAGTGGCGTGAGTCTGCACTTCAAAAGCCAAGGAACAACGTCATCCTCAATATCAAAATAAGGGTTTAATATCAACATTGTCAATACGCTTCCTCCGACCCTCTTTAGAAGTAAATGTTCTTCCACTGCCCCAATTGGAAGCTTTGGGAGAGGAATCTCTTAATCACACAGATACCGGCAACCCAGCGCCATCCAAACATCACAGACCCGCTGCTCCTCCCTTCAAAATACACCAGCAATTCCCCTGAACACCCACTTCACGCCATGCACACACGCCCACAGAGACCGTTCCGATTTGTCCCTTGGTAAAACCAAGCGAGCCGCAGCGATTTGCAGATTTGCAGGAAGGAAAACAATTCCTAGCCTGTGATTAGCTGTCACGTTGCCAATCTTCATGTCCTCAGTGCGCGCAGCTAGTAACCCAATCCGATTAATTGTCCAATTGCAGCTTTTGAAGTATCGAGTTATGGGTTTCTGGAGCCTCGAACTAAACTTAGCTGTAATGTCGATTGTTCGTAAATCGTTTTCCAAGAAATCTTCACCTAGATAATATAGCTTGGTTTGTTGCCTGCCTTATTTTAGTAATACCGAGAGATTCTATTATCTGTGCCTATAGTACGATCATACATTAAATAATAAATCAGTGACTGCAAAGACAACTTGAATTTCTATAACACCTTAAACAGGGGTGTTATGAATCAAAATTTGATACCAAATCACATGAGCTATCAGAAGAAATGACCAAAATGTTTGATCAGTGTTGGTTTAAGCAACAAATATTTTAACTTGTGTATCAAGCCGGTACAGCTACCCACACTTTGAGATCCCAGTCTGGAGTATTTCAGGCCATGGGTGTTTGTTCCCAAAGCTTTTTGCTCCTTATCTCTAAGTAAAGCTCTTCAACTCATTGTTTGTTGTATAAAACTTCTTTATCCACATCTGTATGCAGTAGGTTCTCAAATATAGATCCTTAGTGTAGTGTTTGAGACCTGGTGGGGAGCGATGTCTTCTCTCTTACAGGTGTCAGAGTTATCTGATCAATTACATCATCGTGATTTACATGAATCTTATTATATCACACCTCCCTCCAAGTTTATCTCTACTTGGTCAATATTATTCCAGTAATTTACTTCAACTTACTTACATAATCTTTCTATGGAAAGAGGAGGAGGACCTTGAGGAGGCAAATCAGCCCCTTGAGCCTGTTCTACCATTTAATACCATCATAGCTGATCTCATCTTGGCCTCAACTCTACTTTCTTGCCCACTCCCCATAATCATTTAACCCATCACTAATTAAAATGTTTTCATCTGTTCATAAATGTATTCAGTGTCCCAGCATCCACTGCACTGTAGGGTGATATATTCCATAAATTCATATCCGAATACTTCCTTACAGACAATGTCCCAGACACCACCATCACCACCCCAGGATATGTCCTGTCCCACCAGCAGGACAGAGCCAGCAGAGGTGGCGGCATAGTGGTATACACTCAGGACGGGGTTGCTCTAGGAGCCCTCAACATTGTCTCATGGCTTCAGGTTAAACAAGGGCAAAGAAACCTCCAGCTGATCACCACATTCTGTCCTCCCTCAGCTAATTAATCAGTACTCCTCCATGTTGAACAACACTTAGAGGAGGCACTGAGGATGGCAAGGGAACAAAATGTACTCTGGGTGGGGGATTTCAATGTCCACCACTAAGAGTGGTTCGGCAGCTGTACTACTGAGCAAGCTGGTCAGGTCCTAAAGGATATTGCTGCTAGACCGGGTTTGTAGCATGTGGTGAGGGAGCCAAGAGGAAAGAAACATACTTGACCTCATCCTTACCAATCTGCCAGCTGCAGATGCACCAGTCCATGACAGTATCGGTAAGAGATACCATTGCACAGTCCTTGTGGAGACGAAGTCCCGCCTTCACATTGAGAATAACTCCACCATGTTGTGTGGCACTATCATCGTGCTATATGGGACAGACTTCACACAGATCTAGCAACTCAAGACTGGGCATCCATGAGGCACTGTGGACCATCAACAGCAGCAGAACTGTACTGCAGCACAATCTGTAACCTCATGGCCCAGCATATCACCCACTCAACTATTACCATCAAGCCAGGGGATCAACCCTGGTTCAATGAAGAATGCAGGAGGGCATGCCAGGCGCAGCACCAGGCATACCGGAAGATGAGGTATCAACTTGGTGAAGCCATCAAACAGGACTACTTGCAAGCCAAACAGCATAAGCAGCAAGTGATAGATAGAGCTAAGCGATCCCACAACCAACAGATCAGATCTAAGCTCTGCAGTCCTGCCACATCCAGTCATGAATAGTGGTGGACAATTAAACAACTCACTGGAGGAAGAGGCTTCACAAATATTCCTATCGTCAATGATGGAAGAGCCCAACACATCAATGCAAAAGATAAGGCTGAAGCATTCGCAGCAATCTTTAGCCAGAAGTGCCGAGTGGATGCTGAGTCAGCCTCTCCAGTGGTCCCCTGCATTAGAGATACCAGCCTTCAGCCAATTCAATTCACTCCACATGATATCGAGAAAAGGTTGAAGGCACTGGATCATGCAAAGGCTACGGGCCCTGACAACAGTCTGGCAATAGTACTGAAGACTTGTCCTCCAGAACTCGCCGTTCCCCTAGCCAAGCTGTTCCAGTACAGTTACAACACTGGTATCTACCTGAAAATGTGGAAAATTACTGCATTAATTGAATCCCATTATACCATTATCTTAAAAGGGTGGAGGGATATAGGGAGGTAATTCCAGACTCTAGTATCTAGACACATGTTGGGGCAACTGAAATTGCAGGTGCAAAGAGGTGCATTGCAGAATTGTTCGTGTGCAGAAGTAAGGCAGAGGGAGAGTAAAAAGAAAGGGAAAGGGTGAAGCAATAGATGTGAACTGTAAAATCAAAGGTTTGCCAGACCAGGAGCTAATGCAGGTTAGTGAACAGAGAGGTCATTGGTGGCAGAACTTTGGACACTATACGTTATGAAGAAGAATGACAGTGAGCATATAACTTTCAGATTTTCAACTGAACCTCATCTGTGAGCTTTAAGGGACGTTTTTAATGAGCTTTTCAATATTATTTATGTTACTGAATATTTTGTGTCAAATGCAATAAGTTAAGGATTTGTGACAACCCAAAACTGAGTAGTTAGTGCAGGTCCTATATCCACAACAAATTTTATTACACCTTATATTTTCAAAAGTAAACTTGACACCCTCACAAATTTAATTGGGTCAGCAGATATATTTCTACAGAATTGTGAGGAATGGTGGCTTTGAATGTTTTACTCTTTCACCTGGTTCATTGGCAGATTCACTGGTGAATTGCAACTGGAGGCCCTGTAGAGATGGTATTTGGCCAACTTGATTGGTTGTGTTCGGAGACTGTCATTTGTCCAAGCAAGGTCCAGAAGCTCCCAATAAAACACCATTTGGTGAAAACAAGATAAAGCTTTGATCTTTCCAGCTAACAAAAAGCACACTTAAGTATGCTGCTTTAGCCTACGTGTGAAGATTGATCATTTACATAAAGTAATAGGACATGCAGAGAAACAGCAGAAATTGTGAAGGAGTCAGCATTGTTTTTATATCTGTGTAATGTCTAAAGGTACCATTTGGTTTCCTCAAAAACCTTCAGATTTTTTCAAGTGGAAGGAAAACAGAAAAGAAGTTTTGTCCCACCTTCTTAATTGTGTCATGCCACAGCTGAAGTAAAACCAGATTAACCGCCTTGGTGAACTTTTTCTGTTGCTAAATGTAGAAAGAGGAAATGCTTTAAGTGAACAAGATTTATTTTAAAAGTTTACATTCTGCAATAATGATCTCAAATATAAAACATATATGTGATGTTCCAATGAAATATCAGATTTGGGGAGATAGAAAGAGAGGTAACATTTCAGTTTGATGCCTTTACAGTAGAACTGGCAAAAATTAGAAATTTAAAAGCTTTTTAGTAGGTTAAATGTGACGTAATGGAACAAGAACAATGGGAAGGTCTGTCAGTCTATGATAGGGTGTAAGATGAATATAGTAAATGATATGGAGGTGCCGGCGTTGGACTGGGTTGGACAAGGTCAGAAATCACACAACACCAGGTTATAGTCCAACAGGTTTATTTGAAAACACAAGCTTTCGGAGCCTTACTCCCTCTACAGGTGTTAGTGAGAGAGATAGTATCAGAAACAGAATTTATAAGTAAAAGATCAAAGGGTCACACCATTGATGAGGATGTACTAAACAAATCTAAGATGTTGTTAAATCTTTAATCAGTTAGAATGTTTTAATTGATTAATATATAAATCCCCAAATTCTTTTCAAGCCACTGTCCTGTGAGAACTAAAGGCTTTATAAGTGTAAAGAAGAGATGACATTTTAGGTCAGACAATGCACGTTAGGTGTGAGGCCTTGTTTAGAATCTATTTGTGTTTTGGTTCAGACTCAGACTGGTTTTATTTCTAAAGTAGGAATTTATAAAACACCGCATTGACTGATTGCCTATAAATTGTGTGCTTTTGGAACAAAATAGAATGTATCAGCAAATACAAATACAAATACAATACCTCTCTCACTGACACCTGAAGGAGGAGTAAGGCTCAAAAAGCTTGTGTTTTCAAATAAATCTATTGGACTATAATCTGATACAGTAAACAAGAGTGTTGGGACAGAGCCAAAGGGAGTAGTCTCGGGTTAAGTAAAGAGGCAAACTATCCAGAGTTGTAAAAGGCAAAATAATGAACAGCTGGGTGTAAGATGGAATATAGTAAATGATGTGGAGGTGCCGGTGTTGGACTGGGTTGGACAAGGTCAGAAATCACACGACACCAGGTTATAGTCCAACAGGTTTATTTGAAAACACAAGCACAATTTAGCAGTACAGTGGCTCAGTGGTCAGCACTGCTACCTCACAGCACCAGCGACTCGGGCTCAAATCCAGCCTCAGGCGACTGTCTGTTTGCACATTCTCCCTGTGTCTGCATAGGTTTCCTCCAGGTGCTCTGGTTTTCTTCCACAGTCCAAAGATGTGCAGGATAGGTAGATTGGCCATGTGAAATTACCCATAGTATCCAAGGATCTGCAGGTCAGGTGGCTTAGCCATGGGAAATGCAGGGATGCGGGGATAGGGTAGGGTTTGGCTCTGGGTAGGATGCTCTTCAGAGGGTTGGTGTGCACCTGATGGGTCGAATGATTCAGAGGAAGTGCTAAAAAATGGGTAGCTCAGTGGTTAGCACTGCTGC